ATTCAGTACCTCTTCTGTACTATCTGCTTTTGCAGTGGAAGCACTGCCCGGCTTCAGACAGTCCGTATTAGTTTCTTGTCCTTCGTAACTTAGATGAGAATGTGCTAAAGGTCGGAAAAAGAAAAAGAGGAGTAGGACTAAGCATAGACATATGTAAAAAGAGTAAAGTTGGAAATATACTGTCTGTCCAGGGATCAGAGCTCCCATCAGTCAAGGGGAAATATCCTCATTTTGATATTGACCTAAGAAGAATGTGTTTCCATTCTGCAGCTCAAATCATGCCAACAGCCACAGTCCCAGGATTGATTAGATTATTGACTTGCTAAAAAGTCAGTGTTTTGTTTAAACTCACGATATGCATCAGATTGGTTGTTGCTATCTTCGTCGCTTTTTGGGTTTGACTCGAAATTCTTTAAATTCTCTGACATATCTTCAACTACAATTTTCGAGGTCTTGCTAGTAGTCTGCTGAGAAGAGGTTTCTTCACCTGAAATACAAGCAGTTTTCGTGCAGTATTAATAAAGATTATTGAAAATGTTGTAACTTCGATCAGTTTATAATTTTCTGCATTGGAACAATAGTGTTTATTTAGCCGGTACCTATTCGTTCAACAAAGCCTTTTTGTAAAGATTAGTGAGGCTGTACTCCAACCCTAACATCAAGGCTAACAGAAATGACATGTAACTTCTGAGAGTAAATATTAATCTTCTGTTGCTGTATTTTAGCATTTGAAACGTTTACAACGTGGTTCAAACATGTCATGCTAAATATAAACACTACTATTTAAAGGACATAGAGATTTTATTTGTTTTATTTTATTTCATTATTTCATTTCCCGGCAAACAGGCAACCAGAAATTAAATAAAAATAATACAAACATATTAAAGTAAAACAGTCCTAAAACACCACAAATCACTAAGCCAAACCTGATGGATTGCCTAAAAAGCCAAAGCTTATTGAGATGCTCTCCAAATGTGCTTTTGGATGCTGAATCCAAAAATGCAAAGGTCCATTTTTTCCGAGATTGTCTTGGCGGCCATTTTGGAATTTAAAAATGGCCGCCATTTATACAGTAAAAGTAACCATAACTGCGCTATTAGAGTATGTATTGACATGATTTTGGTACTAAACTCTATATTCTCAATGTTAACCTGTCCAATGGTGATATTCTCACAAACCATAAAAGGCAGCCATCTTGAATTTCAAAATGACTGAAAGTTTGAAAGTAAAATAGCAATAACTGTGATATTAGAGCAGGTATCAACTTGATTTTGGTAGCAAACCATAGGTTTTCAATGTCTGTCCAATGGTCATATTCTCACCAATCATAAATGGCGGCCATCTTGAATTCCAAAATGGCTGCCATTTTCACAGTAATGAAAAAACAAAACTGTGCCATTAGAGCAGGTCAAACCCTGTGTTTTCAATGTCAAGGTGCCGAATGGTGATATACACATGGATCAAGAATGGTGGCCATTTTGAATTTCGAAATGGCCGACAAATTTCTAACACAAACTGCTTAGTTTTTTGCGAAGTAATGTCAATTATTAATTGCAAAACCCAAGTTTTAATTGCAACCTATCAACAAATTAACCTGTCTAATGGTTATATTCCAAGTGGAATCATACCTTTCTTGGACCATGAAGACAGAAAGACAACACATGTGAAGTACCAAAGAGAAATCCAAAAGGGGCTTTGTCATGATTCTGTATGTCAGTGGTCTATCGGAAAAGATCAGATCAAATGAGCACACACCACTTTAATACATGATTCAGACATCAAAATAAGTTGAGAGAACTAGTGCATCCGAAAACAAGATTCCATGAGCAAACACTCACCTTGGAGTTATTATGTGGTCATTGCGACCAATAGTAAAAGGTTTGACCACTTAGGTGAACATGAAATGAGGTTGAAAAATATAAATAAAGGGTACGAACTAGAGCCAACATGGGTTTTCTTAATGAGACATGCACAAATCAGCAATCACTGGACATATGGTCACACACAACCACATCCCAGATTGGAAATACTACAAGTTACAGGGGGAACTGATGTCGGCAGTAGATGAATAAGAATCTAAATGGTTCAGAAGTAAAGACAATAATATTAACAGAGACGAGGGAGTACACCAATTGTCCCATGTGTTTGAACAATTTTTGTCGACCCCCAACAAGACCCAGGGACTCCTGCTTACATCAGACCAAGAGAGGTTTGCCGACACAATACCACCAGTCGGCAAGGTGGAGATAGATATGCAGATTACTACACGTTAGTTTGAGAATGGTAACTGAGTGACCAAAACTGTCATACGTATGTTTTTTTCAAGTCTAAAATATCTAAGAAATTTAACGTTAATATCGACAATTGTATTAAATGCGTTAAACCTACTGGAAATGCAAACTATATATATATATAT